AAGAATTAAAATATGGTAACATTTATTTAAATTTTTAAAAATGAAATTAATTTTATCGGACATTTACTTTTTAGTCTACTACTTTGCTAATACAGTTTAACCCGGATGTAAGAGAGTTGTCGGGTCCGGAGAAGAAGTCTCTTATATCCGGGTTTCTCTTATATCCGGGTTTGGTCTATTTTATATACATTAACACAGGCTCTAATTTGGGACCAGAGAAAATCTCTCTTATATCCGGGTTTCTCTTATATCCGGGTTTCTCTTATATCCGGGTCTCTTATATCCGGGTTACACTGTAATAACTTCAGCTACGTAAAACAAAATAATTTTAAAAGACATTACATTTTTTCACATTGTTAAAAGAAAAACGAGCCGTATTTCTATTAACGTGGCATTTAATTCATGACTTCTCACTTGTTAGAATTTAAATAAATATTTAAAAAACTGATAAATCATACTTATTATAAAACCCAGGTTGTGTGTGTGTGTCTGTTCGTTTATATATTGGATCGGATTTCCTACATTTTTCAACCGATTTCAACAAAACTTCACAGGACTACGTAAAATTACCTTGCGGTTGTTCTGACAGCGCCAAAAATTAGAAAAATACAATTGTTTTTGTACGAAATCAATTTGAAAACACGATTAAGAGGCATTGCTATCGCGAGAATGAAAGGGGGACAACTCATATCGAGTTATACTTATTATAAAACCCAGGTTGTTTGTGTGTGTGTGTGTGTGTGTGTGTGTGTGTGTGTGTGTGTGTGTGTGTGTGTGTGTGTGCTCGTTTATATATGAGATCGGATTTCCTACATTTTTCAACCGATTTCAACAAAACTTCACTTTTTTTTTGGCAGGTAGTGTTTCTTATTGTCTTGCACATTTTTTTCTTTATTTTTACATTCAGAATGCTTTAGAAATTCTATTTACAAGAGAATTGTTTATAATAAAATTCTATTCAATCGGTAGACTCATAACGATTGAAAACAATGTTTTTCTTTGAGTTTGGCTTTGACCAATTCATAAAAAAATCAAAACAAAACAAAACAAAAAAACTAATTAAGACATGCGTGTCCGTCAAGCTTAAACAATAATCTTTGTCAATTTTATTTTTCAGTCTTTATGATGGTCGATACTTGATCTATCTCTTACTGTTACATCCCCGGGCAACGCCGGGCTCTACTTCTAGTTATTAATAAAAATTACAATGTTTTTTTCCTTTTAAAATAAAACAGAGGATATATAAATATAAAAAAGTTATTCTTTTAATATCGTAAAAAAGATTTTAAAGTTTTCCCGATTTAGAAAAAAAGGAGTAACGTCTTCGTTTTTTCACATCTCCAGTTTTATATTCTAAAAAATAAAACAATTGTACTTTTATTTCATAATTTGTCAGCGAGTATTTATAAATACCACGTTAACAGAAACACGGAAAAAATCTGACATCATACGGGCATTAGATTTTGAGAAAGGCTGAAAATATTAAAAATTCATGAGTGCTTGAATAATTTCGTCGTTGACCATATATATATATATATATATATATATATATATATATATATGAAGAAATATAGTCTTAAGATGTGCTATATTTATGGGATAGAGTGCTCAATATCAGAGATAGAGCGTGTGTAAATATAAAAGTGAACATAGAAGTCAACACTTAGAGGCGATAGACTGTTTCATGAAACAGACTGTCGCCTCTAAGTGTTGACTTCTATGTTCACCTTTAAACTTTAAGGGTTAATGTGCATTGTAATATTCCATTCCTTCTAGGGAGGGGCAGGAAACTTGAGGGCCGCCCTGGGCGGCAAAAACACTACAAATGCCACTGTTTTATCGAGTCTGGGATAATTGCGTATTTCCAATGGGCTTTGTTTGCAGTTTATGAATCCCTTGTAAAATCCAAAATGTCAATTTTTCAAGACAATCAAATCTTCTCTGTAGGAATGTCTTGTACAACTTTTCTACACTTTTTTCTCATTTTTCCTGTGTTAGATTTAACTAATAAGAATTACTATCTGTATGAATTTCTAGGACGTGGACTTATCATAATTTGCTTTCGTCTTTATCTTTGTTGTTGTTGTTATCAAAACCATTCTTCACTGTCGATCCGAGTAACGTTCGAGGAAGTTCGAATAGAACTACAAGAAAAGATTTTCATTTCGTTATCCATGTCTAGGGATGTCTCATCTTGTTCTTATATACTATTCGCCACTGAGTCTATATATGTACTACCCGGCCCCAAAATTGAACTGACAATTACTATATCAATAAAACAACGTTTTAATCCACTATTCCTCTTTGGGACAATCCTGAGTCTAGAACTTGATAACATAAACTTAGTATTCTTCTTTACTACCTGCTGCGGAATCTTAAATTAATTTCGCCGGCCGGTTACTAAATTATTACCGAGTTGAATGTTTTAAGTGGAAAATGCCATTGGCCCTATAGTGCTTAGCGCACACACAGCAAGTTTGTGAAATAGCCTTTGATGAGATGAAACTTTCGAATATTAGAAGGTGCATGTCAAAAACAGAAAAAAATGCATTAACAAATAAAAAATTATTTATCTGCAGATATTCAACTTTAGGAAAAAAGAGAACTGGTTTGTCAATATTCCTTTTTATGTGTATAAAGAAGAAAATAGTTTTTTGCATTAATTCGACTTGTAGGCTTAAAGCATTTGAAATCGGATACATATCAAAATAGGTTCAGTTGACAATTTTTATGTGAAGCATTTTCATTATTATTATTTTTATTATTATTTTTACGGCATGATATTTTTGCTATTTGTTTAGATGAAGCATTTTAACTATTTGTTGTGAGACCGTAACATACCTACAACATGGACTCTTCCAGGACTATATAAAGTATGCGATATAACACTCTAGGAGAAGAGGAGGAAAGAGAGAGAGAGAGAGACAGAGTATTCTAATACCGTAGTATCAGCCGCGTACGACTACCAATATTGGGCACTAGCACATAATAAGCTCCGCTTACACTTACACTATCTTTGTAACCTTTTTGTTTAATATATCTTTCTTACCTCTAATCCGTGTTCCGTGTTTTCCTTTACGTGGTCCCAACTTTGGGTCCACATCACTATTATAATTCTTTACTAGTTTTACCGCATGTTATTATTGTTGTGTTTAGATTAAGCATTTTGTATTATATATATATATATAAACATTTTTCTAGTATTAATCTTAATTTTTGTGCATCATACTATTTGATAAAATTTCCTATAATGAAAACTAAATATGAAAAACTTTAAAGAAATCGGCCATTAAAAAAATGCAAACAAAAATGATCTTAATAATCTATATGACACTGGTGGGTGGGGAAGGTGAAAGCTGCATATTTTGAAAGCTTTTGCTTCGGCTAAAGGAATCTTTGCTGATGCCAACGTAAAGATGCTATCTTTCAGGTTTGTTCCTTTCGGAATGTTATTAGAAGACAACGAAAAAAAAATCTTCAATAAAAGAACACAATGGAATTAATGGGAAAACATGCCTGTCCGACTCTCGCTCTACTAGTCCAGCAGGTGGAAAACTTACCGACCACCTGCAGTTTAGTCTTGTCCCTCTTCTCACTTCCGCTTTCCTCTCCTTATGCTTACCCTCCTGCGCTTGTAGAAGAGACAATGCGCTTTGATCAGTATCAGCTGTACGGGAAATAAGATAGCTTGTATGCGGGTGTGTATATTTAAATATGGATGCACAACTATATGTTTATGTGCCTCTTTGTTCTCGTGTAGGTTGATGTAACTTATTCAACGTAGACAATATTGTGTTTACGTGTTTGAGGGAGAAAGGAAAGATTATGCTTGTGTGTGTGTGTGTGTCTACGTGGCGAGGATGTCTATTTATTTCTTTAGTAGAGCACAGGGCCACGATTGTGGTGCACACAGAAACGATCAAACTCAATGCTGCAGTAAAATTCTCCGACACAAGGTGGATATTAATCACTTTCATTGAGCTTTGCTCAATTCAGCACAAAGTCATAAAAAGGGGCCCCAGGTGTGGATCGAACTCCAGTAATAATGAACCACGAGACAGATCAAAATCAGCTATGTGCCATGCGTGATACACGCTTAGCCTATCATGTATATTTCGATACATGACTGACGAGGCAAAATTTTTCCCACATTTCTTTCTGCGGTAGACCAGTTGCCGTCCAAGGCTATAGAACCTGGTCTGTCCTGCTATTTTACCCATAGCTGGGAAGAAAAAGAGGATAGAGTTTCAAATTCACAAGACTCGCGAAATAAACTGAGAAATGAAAATGCAAATAATCAGTCAATGGTTGGCGCTCAAATTTTCTTCTTTTACATATCATGATGGTTTAGAATGGGAGGAAGGATGGTCCTCCACAACTTCCTGTCTCTCATCGCTCTATTTTTTTCATATTCCATCCTTTTTGCACCTTGTTATACAATCTCTAGGTTACTCGGTGTTTCACCATGCTCTACCTGCCTTCAATATGCCCCGTGAGTATTAAATCCTCCAAGTCTTCTTTCCTCGTTATGTGCCTCAAAAATTTCAGTTGTTTGAAAAAACATATGGCCGTTTGTTATTAATTTCACTGTTTAATAAAATAGAAAAACATTAATATAAACTTAAACACGTGCATCCACTAAAAATAATACATACTAAAAAGAAATTATAGTAAACATATATATATATATATATATATATATATATATATATGCATTTATTTATCTCTCTCTCTCTCTCTCTATATATATATATATATATATATATATATATATATATATATATGCTCAGGCATATATGTGTTTGTTCAAAACCAACAGAGTCCACCTGTTGTTTATACAACAACCATACTTAGCTGACGTTAGTTTCAGTTTCTGGGAGATCGCATTATCTGGTGTGATCAATAGTCTGAACAAGGCCAGTGCGTTAAACCCTCGGTCACGATGACGTGTACCTTCGTGCTAGCTCAATTATCGACAGCTCCTAAATAGTTCCGTCCAGCCAATTTTTATCTATCTATCTATCTATCTATCTATCTATCTATCTATATCTATCTATATCTATATATATATATATATATATATGATAAGAAATACATACTAAAAAGAAATTATATGTTTGGCGCCTCTCTATGGATTTCAGAGAATTGTCTCAAAATTGAAAATTGAGAGCCTTTTTTCTAAACTAATATACCAGATCACTTCCGACCAGAGGGAGTTTCATATATTCAATAATAATAATAATAATAATAATAATAATAATGTAGTTAACCAATTACTGCATAAACTTTCTTTTAATTTTTAGCTGATTTTTGTCTAATCTATCTTGCTAGCTGGCGAATTTAAAATTTTAGATAATCCTCTCTCTAAAATGTTGGACGCCATGCACTCATGGATAAAACAACTCCAGCGTCTTAGCTTAGTCGGAGTTAATTAAACTTAAGACACTACGAAACTTATCAATTATCAAATCTATATGGTCGCTTCAAATATTTGTCCTACAAACACTATTTATACGTTCTATCCCTGATGTTGAGCATACTAACTTATAAATATTACATACCGTAAAAATTTTATATTTTATCATATATATATATATATATATATATATATATATATATGTGTGTGTGTGTGTGTGTGTGTGTGTGTGTGTGTGTGTGTGTGAATAAAGGCAAAATGAAAAATTATCTTATAAAAAGATCATATTTTGTAAACAGTATTTATGTACAAGAGCAAAAATTTTATTTAAATTAAAATTTAAAAAATCATAAAAATTAATCTGGATCCACGTATTTAAGCAGATATTTATTTTTATGCCTACATGTGATTATCAATTCATTTCTCTTGTTTAATAAGTTAGAGTTATTTAAGTGTTTTAAGATAACCAGCTTTTCAACGAGACATAAATTGCATTTACCATTATAAGATATAATTTACCTTTACCATTATAAGATATAATTTCCCAGTTGATTGATGGTGAGAAGCCATCATTATTTAATTGCCAAAGAGAGAAGTGCTGTTTTAAATTATTTAAGGTCATTCTATGGTGATAAAAACGAAATTTCCAAGATTTTCCGTGTAAACAAAATAAAATTTAACATTGTGAACTTGAATATATGTTAGCACGGTATATAATATTATTGGTCATACATTTACCGTTTAAGGGGCAGATCGTATTTTTACGGCAGTTGCATTTATTTTTAGAAGAATTTATTCAGTAAAATATGTTTGTTTAATATAATGTTGATATGATGGGAGATGGATGTATTTATGTTATTAACACAGCTATAGCTGATCTTAAAATTGTTTTAATAAAAATTTTTTAGTGTTGGTGAATAGTCAAAGTATTTATGAATTAAATTTTAAAAAAAACATTTGACATTACGGTTAAGTGGTGGATTAAACCATATAATGTTGTATTTACGGTGTTTTTGCTTATTTCCACCTTTTTTGTTTATTTCTAAATACTCTATATTTACTTTGTGAAGTCTTTTTTCTAAAGCTTGTATATATTTAGCTTTAGGCTTATTAAATATTTCCTTATTGCTGAAATTTGTGGAACTTGGACAGATTTACGTAAATTTTCTATAATTTTATGGTGGTAGTTTAATGTAAGTATGTTTATATAGATCCTTTGTGTACGGTTTATCAAAAACTCTATTCAGGTTTAAGGTTATATCGAGAAAGTTGATCACTTTTGCATTGTTGGTGGTGGCGATATTTAGTTCGTGATCTTTATTAAAATATGAATATTCCTGTCTCAAATATATAATTTTCTTTTTTTTTTTTTTATAAATATATAAATCCGGCTTATTTTAATTGCCAAATATTAATTTCAAATTTAAAAAAAAAATGTAATCCCAGCATAATATATAACTACGCCAACATTTGGTAACCCGATATAATATAACTAAAAATTGTGTAACGGTCAGTTCATACGCAGCACCTGAAAACTGCGCCGGGTATGAAACTCAGAGTCGTGCTAACGGTGAGGGATAATATTTATATTTATTAATATATACTAGATAGTGTGTGTGTGTGTGTGTGTGTTTAAGCAGCAAGAATTCCCCCAAACAAGTTTAGTTACATTCAATCAACATAAGAAAATGTATAAATATTCGATATATGCATTTCTGTTCAACCGTCACTTTGAAATAATTTCAATACCAGTGATCTAAAAACGCTAATATCTAACGCTACAATTTTTTTCCACCCGCTCTTGATAATGAGTGAGATGGTCTGAAGAACTAGAACTGTAAGAAAATAAACAAAAACATGAATTTGTATAACGGGTGTAACACCAAAATTGTCCAATTGTTAGATGAAGTTTTGAAGCATTGTATCTTAGAAATGATTAAAGATATCTTACTGGAATTCTTTGAGGTTCTTATAACACTATTGGACTCTACTTTGAGCAATAAGAATGTATAATTACTCTCTAAGCTTAACAGAAGAGATGAGATCGATCATAAACGAAAATGGCATTAATTGGTCATAGATAAGGATCGGAAGCTCATGAAGTATATATATATATATATATATATATATATATATATATATATATATATATTATTCCAGGATCATTTTCCAACTTATTCAAGATGATCTTTTCCTCTCCCTAATCTTCTAACTTTCTATCCTGTCGTAACAAGTTACCTCACTTTCAAGTTTTTTTACACTACACTGACTGTCATAGGTGAAACTCCTTTCACATATGTCAATCATCGTTTGAATTGGGTTGGATCTTTCCTAATTAATCTCTTTAAGTTGAAATAATGATCCCTCTTCCTGTTATGGCCTGATCCAGATTTCCTCTCTAGTGTTCCCTCTTTTTTAAAACTTATTCACGGTTCTCATGATGGTTATTGAGTGGACTTTGAAGATGGAAGCCAGGGTATGAATGATTGGTACCATTTCTGAAGGCCTGAATGATTTTTTCTTTTCATTATTGCCCAGTTAAGAGTTGCCGCAGAACGATTTAACCTGTTCTTTTCTAGCTGAATAACTCAAAGGGCTTTTCAGTGATTCTTACCAAAAATGGTATCAGGATTGCTAACGGTTTTATCTGAAAACACGGTAAAAAGAATCTGAATTAGTTTAGTTTTTCTTGGATATTAAAACTTTTTTTGTGGGTGGACAAATACTGGTGGACTGTGCTGTGACACGATTTGGACAATATTTGGATATATATATATATATATATATATATATATATATATATATATATATATATATATATATATATATATATATATATATATATATATAATGTTATGTTAGAAAAATAAATTTTTGCTCTCTGTTATATCAACGAAACATGTTTAAAAGTAAGATTGCTGAATATATATATATATATATATATATATATATATATATATATATATATGGGGTAGAATCTCGTCTTGTAAAAATCGGATATCTACCCACACTGATGATGATACTGTGAAATGGTCTATCTGCGGATGACTATATATATATATATATATATATATATATATATATATATATATATATATATATATATATACGCTATAATTTTACATACTGACAAAAACAACTTTCTCACTACAAAAGATGCATTCTTATTTCGATGCAGCTGCATCACGACTGGTGGAAAACCCCAAAATAAATAAATAAATAGATTAAAAATTCCCACCGTCGAGATGCATCCGCATCGAAACAAAAGTTCATCTTTGTAGTGAGCAAAATTTTTGACCGCATGTAAAAATTATAATAAATATTTAGTGCTCTACTCTTGGTATTGAGCCCGCTTTTGAATTAATGCTGTGAACGTTAGAATTTATATTATTTTCGTTCTCATTACATTCACACACACACACACACACACACACACACACACACACACACACACATATATATATATATATATATATATATATATATATATATATATATATCAGGTATGCTATATTCATGGGTTAATGTGACCAGTATCAGAGAGCGTTTTAAGTATAAACGTGGACATTGAGATCAAAACGCAGTGACGGTAGCCTGTTTCATTCTTAAGCGCAATCGTCAGGTCATGTGTGTTAAGTTTTTTTCTCGACTATTCATCTATGACCAACAACTGTTTTATAATTACATATATATATATATATATATATATATATATATATATATGTGTGTGTGTGTGTGTGTGTGTGTGCATGTGTGTGTGTGTGTGTGTGTGTGTCTCGTCTGAATATGTGAATAAATCTAATTATGCATCCATTGAGCTAGTAGTTAAATTTGCACGCGCAAAATTATTACATATATGTAAACGTGTGAAACTTCGAAGATTTAAATGCAACGTCAATTGTCATCTTCTGTCTCCTTAAATCCTGTCGTTTGTATTGTCCTTTTTTCTTCAGTAACGTTTTCTCGGTTTCTTTTACTCAGTTGTCTTTCATTTAAACTCTTGAGTCTCGTCCTGACTATGACGAAAAGCTACATCCGCGTCCTGGGTAAGACGAAAAGCTACATCGGCGTCCTGGGTAAGACGAAAAACTACATCCAACAGCAAGGCCTCTGTTCAGGTGGTTTTGAGGAGTGTGAAACTATCTCGTAATTGCTGGTGTTCCCAGGTCCACCCAGACCTGGGGTGGTAGCACCTGTTAGGGTCCCAACTATGACCAAATAGTTAACCCCCAAACTGGAGTCAAAACACTACGAAAGCGTAAAAATAAGTTTTAATACCAGAAATACATTGTAGAAAAAAATTATTACCAGCAATACATTTTTGAAGGAATAAAAAATTACCAGCTATACTTTTTTTGAAAAAAAAATATTACCAGCAATAAAAATTGTCGGCATTAAATAATCCATTGAGGTTGATATGCCGTAAAACAAATCAAACCAAACCAAACCCTTTAATCTTTGTGGCTTTATCACCGTGCTAGGTACGAAATGATTAAAATATAACCTATTATATTTTTACAGCGTTTTCTTTTACTAAATCTTTTATTCATATAAATTTATGGGATTGTTCGGTCATATTTCTTCTGTAACCGATGCCATCTTCCAGTTAAATTGCGTCTGCTATCTAAAACGGGTGGTAGTAATGTTTCTCGCATATTTTAAGAAAATATCTTCCATGAAGATTCA